GACTATTTCCGAGGGAAGTTCAATTAGATGCGACTGCTTTTTCAAATAATTGATGATATTGTTTATGCTTTCAACAGATCTGCTTCTTTTACAATTTGCAACAGAATCTTTCGTTACACAATCCCGTGGTTTAGATTTATGTCCTCTTTATAAAATTTGAGGATCTTAGATTTGTTTGTATTGTCACTTAGCATAAACTGCTCGATTCCCGAAAAGAATTTGAATGATTTGCTCTCAAATCTCGCATTCAGTGGTTTTAAAATCGTACCAATAATCTCCACATATTGCGATTCATATATTTCCTTAAGAGAAAAATTATTTTGTGGTTTTGGCATATCATTAGTTTCAAATCGTTTTGGAATTTTTCGTTTTCCCTGCTGTCTAAGTTTCCCTTGTTTTATCTCGGCAGGTTTATCATAAATTATTTTCTGCAAAAATCCAGAAAAATCCTTTTGGCAAAAACTGAGACTAGTTTTTAATGTTGCAATCATCCGATGCGCTTCTTCAAACTGTAAGAATTTTTTGTAATGTCGTGTTTACCGTATCTATGTATCCAAATAATTTTGTTAACATTATCAAAATGAAATAAAAATCGAACTTTTCCATCAGCCGTAAATATCATTCTCAGCCATATCAGTAAAGAAATCTATTTTTAATAAGTTTGATAAAAGAGACGACATAGAGACATATTTGATTGTCCATCGGGTTGGACAAAGAAGTCGGCCTGTACAAACGTCTGATTTTAAATTATGAAATATCCAATCGCTTAGGCGACCCCTTACAAAGTTGATGATATCTTTAACCATATCCAATGTAACCTTGCAAAAAGGAAAATTTTTTATTGTGCCCTGAGCTACCAAATTTTATGAATGAGCTATTTGATTTTTTTGTCCTCAAGAATTCTAGCTTGAACACTATGTTTGTCTCCAGCCATGTTCCTAGTACCGTCATAACACTATCTTCGACAGTTAGACAGTGGTAAATTAAATCTAAGAAGAACATCTTTGATGACGGAATTCAAAGCAGTTGAGGCTATAGATTCCTCTTCGTAAAACCCGACAAACATTTCTCCTGCTTCTAATGGATTTCTAGTGAATTTTAGGCAAAAGGCAAATTGTTCCATTCGAGATATATCCTTTGTCTCATCCCTTATAATAGCATATAAATCTGCTATTTTAACTAACGAAATTAGTTTTTTTAAGAGTATATGCTCAGAAGATCAAGAATTTCGTATTGTATACCATGACTACACCAAGTATATGATTTAGATTTTAGCCACACATGCAGTTCCTCTGAATCTTCACCACTCAGTTTAAGTAAATTTACAAAATTCCTTGCGTCGTTATCGTGACCACTTATTGCAAGGCTTTGTGACGCTAAGAACAGAGAAGAAAAATTTTTTCAGGCACTTTAGGTTATTCAATAATTCTGTTTTTTTCTGCTCAGAAACCTTTAATTATAATAAAAAGTGTTTAAATTTTAGGATAACCTGTAATTTCATCGTATGGAATTTTAATACGGCTTTATTGTGGTATTGTGATTTAAATTTTCCCAGTCCCTTCTTATAATTGTTAAACCCCGTTTCAATGAAGTATTTACTTTATTTAAAGTGTCCAATTTTGTTTGTCCGACTTGCATCAATCCACAACAACAGATTCGAAATAGCAATGTTTTTGAAGCCGTTAAGCTAGAGAAAGTCCCATCGTTTCAATATCTAGGGGATGTTCTGCATTGTACTGAAACAGCTGAAGCTGCCGTTCGAGCACGCATACGTGCAGCCTGAACTAAATGGCATTTCCTTGCCTCTATATTGATGCGGCGTGACATCCCACTACCATTACGATCAAGACTTTATAAATCTGTGATACGTCCGGTCTTGTTATATGGTGCAGAAACATGGCCAATGACAACCAAACTGGAACAACAACTTCAACGAACATGCTCCAATGGATGCAACGAATTAGTCTGAAGGACCACATCAAATCTACCGAAATCCTGCGTCGTGCTGGTTTAGATGATATAAAGGACGAATGCCGGCATCACCGTCTGAGGTGGTTTGGTCATGTCAAACAAAGTGGAAGCAGTGCCATAACTTCTCATGCAGATGTTGAAGTACCTGGCACACGTCCCAAAGAAGTCCTGGTCGCAAACAATCGAGCAAGACATGAAAGCTCTAAATTTAAATGAAATGGATACAACTGATCGTCTAATTTGGCGCAAAAAGTTGATGGCAAAGAAAACAACGTCCTACCTCGGGAAACCGGGTCTCTGGACGCAAAACGAAGATTGATTGATTGATTGAAATTATTACATTTCATTCTGTTACATTACAATTAAATTAAATTGGCAAAAGGCAAATTTCGCAGGATAAGTAAATTAATTTCACTACATTATTTATTTATTTAATTTTCAATTATATTTGATCTTCGTCAGACTAGAACCGATTAACAAAGTTAATCAATATTAGCTTTAATTTTTAAGGATAACCAGTCGATAATTATCATTAACTAACCTATTTCAATATTTTGTAATTCTGGAACCATGGCATATAACTCACTCCCGAGCTCAATTTCAAGCAACAGTTGTCTGAGTGTTCATTAATATTTTGAATTGTATATCATTCAATGAAAGATAAAGTGTCATACCCACGTTCATCGAGAAAAGATCTAATTATGGTTACATTATTTCTGCTTAAAATTTTTTTTTCTATGCCGATTACATCCACCCATAAACCGTCCACATTTAATTTTGAACGAGGCAGGGTAGTCTGAATGGATATATATATATATATATTAATAATTCTTTAAATCTTAATTATATCCAAAAAAGACGAAAGGTTACAATAAACAAATGAAAAAGATATACAATTATCATAGATAATTTTCTTACACACACACACACGCACGCACAAACACACGCACATAATTCGTAAAAAAATGATATAACATTTTAAAATAAAAATTGGGTAAGCATGAAATTAATTTTTCAATCTAATTTATAATTTAATAACTGTTTTTCAAAAACAGATCAACAAGAAATTTAAACAATCATCTGCATTTTGTTTCCGATAGAAAAAAGTGAACTGATATGAATTGAGTTCAGAGGAGACAAGTGATGAGTTGGCTGTCTACATATACTTAGAATACCTACACTGGCCTTCGAACGTACCCGCGCACATTTTCAGTGCGCTTTGGGTCTGGTCTCATTCTTCAGTTTCCATCAGTATATTTAGTATCTTTTTTCTGATCTCATATGGCCACGCTGATTTGAGATCGTCGTGCTCGAAAGGACTCCACCTGACAGTCCATCACTAATTATTAATCATGCCTATTTTTTTTTGTCCAAATTTATTTGATAAAAATGTCAGATCAAAAAAGTAACAAAAGTACTTGCGTAGACCACCCATGACTAAAATCAAACAAAAAATTACAGTTAAAGACATTAGTAAAAAAAAAAGAAAAAAGAAAATACATTCATAAAATTAGTTAAATACATTTAGCAACCACGTTAATAAACAAATACATTGCATAAAAAAAGTAAAAAAAAAAGTAGTGTATCACACAATCAATTAGCACGCCCATATGTCATCACAGCGCCTTTTGCACATAGCTTAAATCCCTTCAAAGACAGATGTGTTTGACCATCCATGACCAAATCATTCCATAATTTTGGACCCCTTATTATCCAGCTACGTTGGTAGGTGGAAGTTTTAAATTTTTTAACAACAATTGACCACGTTGCCTAGTAATTGTCTGAACCCTATCAAAAAAATTTAACTGCTCATAGTCTTTATTAATAACTATTTTATAAACAAATACCAGCAGAATAAAATTATGTAATTGTTCTATTCTAAGAATTTGATGGTTACGAAACACGTCATCAGTATGATCGCGAAAGTTCAAAAAAAAAAAAAAATTATTCGCATAAAACGTTTTTGCATCACTAAAACTTAATTGATCCAATATTTACTGGCGGATCTCCAAAACACATTTCCATATAACAAATGTTGATAAAAAAAAGAAAAATAAAGTAAGACCATTGACTTGACATTCAACCTGTCTCTCACTCTAACAAGAATTCCAACCGCACGGTACAGCCTATGAACGATCATGTCGATGTGCTCATTCTATTTCAGATCACTTTGTATAACAATTGCCAAAAATTTTACCGAATGAACCCGTGGAAGAGATATGCCCTGGATAATCAGCTCCAAGCCACT